GGGGCTGCGGCGCGGGGTCCCCGCGGCGCGGCGGGGGCTCCGGCAGGCGCAGAGGTCAGGGCGCTGCTCGGGGTCAGCCGGGAGTGCGTGTGCTGTCGTGGCTCTGGCCGGCGTGGTGGGCGCCTGCGCCTTGCAGGGGCCTGTTCTGGGCGCTGTGGAATGCTGCGCTCGAAGGGAGGGTGGGCTTGCTCCGAGCCGGGCCGTTCGCCCGCCTTGAGGACGAGACGCCAGAGGGCTGGGGCACGTGGGTTCCCGCCAGTGCGGGCACGCCCTGCAGCCCCTCGTCAGCCCTGCCCTCAGTCCTGCTGCTCTGCTTCTGGGGCCGAGGCTTCCAGCTGGGACCGCTTGGGCAGAGGCTCGGGCTGAGGACGAGTGAGAGTGTTGAGAGACCACCCGTGCTTGGGGCTCGAGGCAGACCGGCCGGAAGCGGAGTTGGGGTGGGACTTGGAGGGGTGAGGTGCGTTTTGTGCATGTGCCGGTGTCTCACGGCGCAGAGTAGGGGCTTGCCTGGGTCAGGCTGCAGGATGAGAACCCGACTCCACTCTGTTGGAACAGGTTCTGGACCAGAAGGAGCACAGGCTGGATGGCCGTGTCATTGACCCTAAGAAGGCCATGGCTATGAAGAAGGACCCGGTAAAGAAAATCTTTGTTGGGGGTCTGAATCCTGAAGCCACAGAGGAGAAGATCAGGGAGTACTTTGGCGAGTTTGGGGAGGTGAGTGTGGCTTTGGAGGGGCCTGCCAGCCGCCCTGGTCCTTGGCTGAAGCTGTCTGCAGGTCTGGCCTCTGTTGGGCTTTTCTCCTGTAAGTTCCTTCTGCCTGGGGTTTGGCAGGTGGAGGTCCTGAGCTTTGGTCTATGATTTTTACAGATCGAGGCCATTGAGCTGCCAATGGATCCAAAGCTGAACAAAAGACGAGGTTTTGTGTTTATCACCTTTAAAGAGGAAGAACCTGTGAAGAAGGTTCTGGAGAAGAAGTTCCACACGATCAGTGGAAGCAAGGTAACGCATCCCCATTCTGCCTCACTTCGTGCCGGAGCTGACCCTTGCAGTGTGGGGAGCTCTCTCTGGGTTGGTCTGGCCTCACTGTTTCTTTGCAGCGTGTGCTGCCCTGATGGGGCAGCGTTCTTGTCCTTGGGGTTTCTAGGTTGGGAGGACTGACGGCGTCGCAGGACGTGAGGGAGGCAGGACCGGGCGGTGCCGAGCAGCCCTTGAGCGCCTGAACGGCTAGCGGGGCGGCGTCCGGGGCCTTGGAGCTCAGCGTGGGAGGCCTGCCACTCTGGGCTCAGGAGATCCAGAACTTTTGCTGCCGAGTCCCCTGTGCGGCAGTGTTTTGCTTGCCCAAGACTTTTCTGCCTTCTTCCGTAACTGATTCTTCTCTTTGGGCACTGCTTTAAGGGGTCCCCAGCCCCAGACAAACGTCCCTCCCCAAGAACCCCCAGGGCCTGGCCAGCTGAAGTGTCCAGGGTCAGTTTTGCTTTCCAGTGCGAGGTGAGCTCTTCACCTGAACTCTCAGGTTGGGGAGAGGGGAGGTCAGGCCTGGGGTGGCAGTTGAGGGTGTGGCCTGCTGTGGCAGGGTGTGGCAGGCTCTGCCCAGGCAGGAGCTGGCAGCCAGACACGGTGGGACAGGTAGGGTGGGGCTCTGGAGACCTCTGTCCTGGCGGGGAACTTGGAAAGATTGGGTTGGGATGGGGCCCCTCCGTTTCCTGTGAAGTGAGGCTGGGGGCAGTTGAGGCATGGGTGCTGCTCCAGGGCAGAGCCACTCCAGGGATAGTTGAGGCCTTTTTCTCCACGTGCGTCACCTGTGTGGGTGGGCGGAGCCTGAGGCAGGGCCATCTGAGGCTCCTGGCAGTGAGTCTGAGGGGGAAGCACAGTCAGGCCCAGTAGTGTTAAGGCAGTGGGATGGAAAGCAGGCCGATGGCATCAGTCGGTGGGGTGACGTGCCACCTAAAGGCATGCTTGTGTGGGGACACTGAAACGTGCTGTTTTTAATGGGGGGGGTGTCGGGCTCCTAAAAATGATGAGGTTCTGATTTGCTGAGGCCCCGCCCCACTGGTGAAAGACGCAGTTGACTCTGGGCCCTCAGGGGATGTGAGATGCTGGCCTGTCCGGTATCCATATGCTTGGAGGAGGGGTGGTCAGTGACATGGCCTCAGGGCTTCAGTAAGATGGAGTGACTTCTCAGTTGTGTGTCTGGATGAGGTGCGTTTCTTTGTAAAAGGAAGAAAAACTTAGCTGTGTGTTGTCTGAGAGACCTCTTCCTGGTAGTCTTATCTGATCCTCTCGCCTGGTCGGACCAAGGCGGTTGCGTTCCCCTCCTGTCAACCCGGGACTGCAGCTGGCCTAGGCGTCTCGGCTTGAGTTGTGGTCCCAGAGACTCTGGCCTAAATGTGGCCTCTGGCAGCCAAGCTCTGTCCCTGCCCTCAGCTTGTCCGCTGATCTGACCCGCTGTCCTCTCGACCTGTAGTGTGAAATCAAGGTGGCCCAGCCCAAAGAGGTCTATCAGCAGCAGCAGTATGGTTCCGGGGGCCGTGGGAACCGCAACCGAGGCAACCGAGGCAGTGGCGGCGGCGGAGGTGAGTGGGCTTGGAGGGTGGGGGTCCTGGGGTGGAGCCCCAGCCTGGCTCCCTCTGGTGCTGTGCAGCGGGGTGCATGGGCAGTGCGGCAGGGGCGGGGTCGCGTCTCAGGAGGGACACGGTGGGCTGTCGGGGCTGTCACTGTCCTGCGTCTGGTAAACTGGTCGTTGGGCAGAAGGGTGCGGCAGAGCTGCGCCAGGCGCCTTCCTCCTCGCACCAGGCCCCTCTGACTCCAAAGCCTGAACTGCGTCTTTTGAAGGCCAAGCTGCCAGGCAGGGGGGTGAGCAGAGGTGAGTGAGTGAGTTTGCTCGAGCGAAGCTAGCATCTGGCCTCCGGTCCTCTGTGGGCCTCAGCTGTAGGGCTGGGCCTGGCGCCCTCCATACCAGAACCGCAGCCGCCTTGGTTTCTGCCCAAGTTGCCCCAGGAGCCCCGCCACCCAAAGGGCAGGACTGCCTCCGTCCTAGCTCCTGCGTGTGCTAAGCGGTCCGCGGCCCTGTGCCCTGCTCCCCCCACAGGTCAGAGTCAGAGTTGGAATCAGGGCTACGGCAGCTACTGGAACCAGGGCTACGGCTACCAGCAGGGCTGCGGGCCCGGCTATGGCGGCTACGACTACTCGCCCTATGGCTATTACGGCTACGGCCCCGGCTACGACTACAGTAAGTAGGAGAGGGAGGCCCATCCGTCTGCTCACCCAGGGGAGGCAGGACAGACAGGGCAGGAGCCGTTGGCAGCAGGAGCTTTGGAGTCAGACGGGTCTGGCCACAGCAGCCAGGAGCCGCCCGGTGTGGCGCTCCCCACCTACGAGGCCAAGAAGGCAGGGAAGAGCCCCTGCCGGCCCCAGGCTGTCGTGGGCCTGTGGAGATGGCGCCTGGCACAGGGCTGCCCTCCATCCGCAGTAGCTGCTACCACTGTTCTTGTCCCTAGGCCAAGGCGGCACAAGCTACGGCAAGAGCCAGCGACGTGGCGGCCACCAGAACAACTACAAGCCGTACTGAAGTGGTGAGGAGCGACCAGCGGCTGCACACGTGCTTGGGGTGTAGAGTGAACACAAACGATTATGCACCAAATTTAACTTGCAAACTTTCTACGGCCTGTCCCATGTGCGTCTTATTTAAAATTCTTCCCCCGGAAAGCACTCTCCTGCTTACTGTTTCCAGAGCTCTAGTCGAGGCAGCGTGTGGTATCTCAGGCCAGAGCAGCGTTAGGGGCTGATTTGATGCCCGGGCCACCCAGAACCAGACCAGCTGGAGGGGCGCTGTCTCCCGCTCCGCTCTGCAGCCTGGACCTGCGGACCCTGGTTGTAAAGGGTAAAACTGTATCCTAGGAAACCGGCGTCACCTTTTCCCACCTTTTAATTTTATCTTATTTGTGTCATACATTTCCTGTGATGGAAGTGTTAATTTTACTGTACTTTTTGGTACCTTTTGGGAATCTAATGTATTGTAAGGTATTTTACACGTGTCCTGATTTTGCCACGACCTGGATATTGAAGCTATCCAAGCTTTTGAAATAAAAAATTAAAAACCCCCAAGCTAGGTGTGGCATATGCTGTGTAAGACCTCTTGCCCAGAGTGCAGGTGCCAGGTAACAGCAGCCTGGGCCCTCCTGCAGGCCCTGGCAGCTACAGGCCCAGTCAGCAGCTGGGGGGCCTGACTAGAGCCTTTGGAGCCACCACCTGTGCTGCCTTGTGTTCTCTGTGATCTCTTGGCAACCTTCTGCCAGGCACAGCCTCTCACATCCTTGGGAGTTTCCTCGGTGACTGCCCTGCCTGGGGCTTGTGCTCCTTTTAAAGAAGCCGGGTTGGTGTAGGGACAGCTGCTGCCCTCTAGGACACCTGGAACGCCAGCCGTCTGGTCTGGCTGGTGAGAGAGAGGATTCTCTGCAGACAGGGGCAGTGTCTGCCAGCTGCATCAGGCATGACAGTGCCCCTCTGGGCTGGCGCACACGTCTGTCCTGGGGTGTGCTGGCTGGGTTGCTGCAAAAGTCTGGTAGTTGGGGTTCAAGACTAGATAGCTGTGGCTGGGTACGGTGGCTCATGCCTATAATCCCAGCACTTTGGGAGGCCGAGGTGAGAGGATTGCCTGAGCCCAGGGGTATGAGACCAGCCTGGGCAACTTGGTGAACCCTCATCTGTACGATAAATCAAAAAATAAATTAGCCAGGCATGGTAGCGCATGCCTGTAGTTCTGGCTACTGGGAATGCCGAGGCAGAAGGATCGCCTGAGCCCAGCAGGTCAAGGCTGCAGAGGCTGGGAGTGTGCCACTGCACTCCAGCCCGGCCACAGAGACTCCAACTCCAAAACAAAACAAAACAAAAACTAGGTTATAAGAGGCACAGTGGGCGGGCATGCCTAGTGGACACAGCTCACAAGCTCCGCTGACTTAGCTGTTCTTGCCATCAAGTGCAGGTGTCTGGGAGGTTTTTCTGACTGGTGGGTGGAAAGGGTAAGATGTTGCAGTCGGAACAAAAACGTCTTAAAGGGCTCAGCTTGCCGAGGGGTTTCCAACTGCAGAACAGCAAGGTCCACTCCACGTGACTGAGCAGGGCTGCCGCCTCAGCGTTTCGCAACTTCTCACCTTCTCCTCCATATCTGAAAAAGACCTCAGGAAAGTCACCTGAAATCCCTCACCTGCCCCTGCAGGAGACGCCTGTTGCCTAAGTCGTCTGCTTGCAGTTTGGAGATTGGGCCCTTCCGTCTGTGCACCATGTCCCGCCTTCTCCTTTTGCCCACAGGGACAGGCCACCAGCCACAGAATCACAGTGTCCTGAGACTTCAGGGGAGGGAGCGGGTTGCCTGCTGGCTGCTCTGACCCCTGCCAAGAGGTGGGATTTTGCCTCTCTGGGGGCTCCCTGAACCCTGCACACAGCTGTGCCCAGCCGCGTAACTTCTTGGCAAGTGGTTCTAGGGGAGATCCTGGGCTGACCTTGGCCATCCTGGATGATGAGAGGAGGAGTTTCCACTTCGTGTTCTGTGGGTGCTCAGTGGTGCGTCTCCCGGCCACTGAGCAGCTGAGGGTGACTGGCCACGAGTTGAATGAAGCTCAGGCCGCTGCACACCCCGGGAGAGGGGTCTCAGCTCAGCGGTGCTGCCTTATCCGCTTTGGCCTACACCCTGGTCCTGATGATTGCCTGGCTGGTTCCTACCTGCCCAGGGCTCAGGAACGGAAGAGGCCTGGGCCACAGAGGCCCGATCTTCACTTGAGTTTGCTGCTCCCGCCCTGTCTAGAGGACACCCTGCCTTGGCTGTTGGGCTCTCCGCTCCCTGGTCCATGCTGGGAGGTCCTAGCTACTGGCCCCAGGCTGGGCTTCCCAGGCTCCACACTCAACCTGTCAGAACAGCATCCAGCTTTGCCACCACATGGCGTGCGTTGTCCAGGCTGAAGCACATTGGGGGCTTAAATTTCAGGACGTTCCTCCCGGGGCCATCAGTGCTCAGCAAAACGTGGTTCTCCTTGAGCCTGTGAAGACAGGACACCGTTCAGGTGGCCTTCAAGGCCTTCCTCAGCCTGGCCTTGGCCTCCCAGCCCATGGGCTCCAACCGCACTCGGAGCCTTCCAAGGACACTGCAGCAGCTGCGTCTGCCGAAGTCCTGCTTCTCTGGACGCTGATGCTGTGGAGTGCACTGACCTGGCTCTGAGCCTGCTGCCCCTACAGCAGACACCCCGCTACTTATATCCCGGAGCCCAGCCAATTATGCCCATAGACCACACTGGGCTGTGCTGTCCTCTGTGTAATTTATGTGATGGGTGTCATTTTTTACATGGGAAATGTCCAACACTGCAAACAATAGCATCTTGAGTCCTACAGACGTTTCATCAGCTGCAGGAATCTCCTGCCCCTGGCCCCAAGGTAATCTTGCAATCCTAGACACAGGACTGTTTGTTTTTGATTTCCAGTTCTTTCTAGGAAGATGTCTTGACCTTTGACATCATTATTTGAGCCTAAGAATCGTTTTTGAATTCCACTTCTGACTTGGGAGGTACCTAGCCACTGAGAAGTGTCTGAGTGATTGTGTTGACATCCTCTTTGACCCCTGCTTTCATTCTTCTGCTTTTTTTTTTGAGTTGGAGTCTCACTCTGTCTCCCAGACTGGAGTGCAGTGGCCGCTCCCGGCCACCGCAGCCTCGCCTGCTGGGCTCCGGCAATCCTTCCGTCTCAGCCTTCCAAGTAGCCGGAATTACAGGCGCACACTACCACGCCCGGCTGATTTTTTGATTTATTGTAGAGATGAGGTCTCGCTGCCCAGCGGGTCTCGAACCCACGGGCTCAGGCAATCCACTCACCTCAGCCTCCCAAAGGTGTGGGATTACAGGCTGAGCCACTGAGCACGGTGCATTTTTTTTTGTTTTTTTAAGGTAGTCTTGTCGCCCAGGCTGGAGTGCAATGGCACACTCACGGCCACCCCAGTGTCAACCTGCTGGGCTCCAGCAATCCTTTCGCCTCAGCCTTCCAAGTAGCTGAAACTACAGGCTCGCGCTGCCATGCCTGGCTAATTTTTGGTTTATTGGCGCGGTCTTGCCAGGTTTCCCGGGCTGGTCTCAAACTCACGGGCTCCCAAAGTGCTGGGATTACAGGCTGAGCCACTGAGCCCAGCCTGCATTTATTTCTTTTTTCTCAGGGATGGGTGCAAGGATGGTACTCAGCCTGCTTGCTGGCTCCTTTCTCCCTTCCTGATTTTTCTAGCACTGACGCCAGCCAAGCAGGAAAGAACCAGCCTTGGACTTTGAGGCAGACAGCCCTGGGGCCAGATCCAGCCCTGCCGCCTAGCAGGGTGACTGCTGGGGAAAGGCCCACCTGGGGAACTGGGGCAGCACCCCCAGGGGGCTGTGAGGTAGAAGCCATCAGGCCTGTCCAGGATCTGGCTCCTTTGTGCCACCCAGCCATTCAGACCCCCGAGGGCTCCGTGGAAGGGGCGGGAGGACTGCTGGATGTGACTGGCCAGCCGGGAGCAGGCAGGGACTAGCTGGCCACTCCACTGAGGACAGGCCAGTCTATACCAGACACATGTCAAGATTGAATGGTCAAGCGCCAGAGGGCATTCTGTGGCGGGGGAGGGGTAGGCATGGGGAGTGGAGACAAGGGAACAATCCTTAAGCCAGAAGGGGAAAGGGTCCTGAGGCTTGGGTTCAAGTGAAAGAATAAATCAACCTGGTCGAGGGCTGGTGGAGCCTGAGTCCTGAGATGCCAGGTCACCCAGACCCCTGCCCCCAACAGGAGCAGAGGTCCTGGCCACCCCAACCCTCCTCGTTAGGAACAGGAGCCCAGGGGCTGGTGATGCCACAGCTTCCAGGCAGGGCTGGGCCTATGCAAGACTGGCAGGGCTTGGTGGATCCAAGTGCTCGTCTCTGCGGGCGTTCCAGGCAGAGGTGGCCACTCTGGACGGGGAGGGGCCTCTCACGGGATACCTTTGCAGCCAGCCCTGGGTACAGAACTGCCAAAGCCACTTTCTTTTGGTCAGGAGGCCTGGATCAGCTGCCACCCCACCCCAGAGGCCCAGGGTGCCCAGCTATAGGGTGGCCAGATGGGGAGGCAAGAGGGAGGCGCCTTCCCGCAGAGCCAGGCCTGGAATGAGGCGCCATGTGTCTCCCATGGTACGTGGCAACCGGTTTCAGAAAGCATACCTGGATACCAAGTAGGCAGCCTCTTCAGTCGCTGGCGTCCTTGTGGCCTCGTCTCGGATCAGATCCACGCCAATGAAGAGCCCAGCGCCCCTGGAGAGGAGGGAAGGTGACACCTCGGGGCCAGGCCTGAGGGGCTGTGGTCCTCGTTCTCGCCCTCTGCTGGAAAGCCCGCTGGGGCTCCTGCTGGCGCCTCCTAGGGAGGCTGAGGGTGGTGGAGCACTCGGGGCGGAAGGGCCAGGGAGGGGTCCCGGGTGTGGGCCCGAGAGGCTGGCAGCAGCTGGGGGGCAAGTGGCACCCAGGCCTCCCTCTAGCACCGTTTCAGGCACAGCACCCCTCGGCATTCCACTTTATCTCCTGGAGGGGGGCATCAAGGCGCCTGCCATCCAAGGCTGTCAGGAGGTGAGAAGGAAGTGACACCCCTTGGGCCCTGGCCGGGAGGTGGGGATGCTGCCCCACAGCCTCACCTGACATCCCCGATGATGGGATGTTTGGCTTGTTGTTGCCCGAGGAGCTCCATCAGGAAGTTGCCCACACGGCTGGCATGAGCCCGGAGCTGCTCTTGCTCCAAGACGTCCAGGACAGCCAGCCCCACCGCGCAGGACACTGGGTTGCCCCCAAACTGCGCAGGGGACAAAGAACACGTCAGACGCTTAGCAGAGGGGGCGAGGCAGGAGTGCCATCTACGGTCGAAGGGCAGTGGCCAGCGCAAAGGCCCCAAACCCCCCAGGGCTCACGGTCCTCAACAGTAAATGGGGCTTCCCAGGGCCTCTGTGGGCAGTCCTGCCTTTACAGGTCTGATGTGACTACCCAGGCCAGGGGCCCTGGAAAGATGCAGAGTCGGAGGGAAGCCTGTCCTGTGCCCTTGCAAGAGGCTGCGGGACCCTATTTTGCTGGCTGGCCCAGAGCATCGGACTAGTTCCTGTCTCCCTCGCGGAGGATCAAGAGTAGCATGCCAAGGCCCTCCCCACAAAAAGCTACTCTGGGGTATGAGTTCACAGCTCTGCTGGCTGAGCCCAGGGTGGGTTCTAGGGTGCAGACCACACACTGGCTACCTGGGAACCCTCCCGGCCTGAGGTCTCATGCTACTTGGCTTGTGCAACACCACTAAAAGTGGTGAAATTTGGTATAACAAGGTAGAGTGAGACTTCACACACAACTCTCTGACTTAAAACACACCTGGCCTATCTGGGTGGCTCCCTTCAGGCTCCAGGGTGTTTTGACTCACCCCCCCCACCCCATGCCTGGCCCTGTGGGTGTCTGAGATGAGACTTTCATTTATTTATTTTTATTTATTTCTTTTTTTGAGTTGGAGTCCCACCGTCGCCCAGACTGGAGTGCAGTGGCCGCTCCCGGCCACCGCAGCCTCCACCTGCTGG